GAGTGTTTTCTTCTTCTTTCTGACGTCGCCCCATCCATTCCTTCATAGTACAACGGATCAGGGTTTTCCACTAGCACTACAGGTTCAAACTGACAAGATCCTAGTCAGAGGTTAACAACCAGAACATCAACAAAGATCACAATCTAAACGTTGTGTGTCACAGCGACCTGTGTAGTAAACACTCTGCTTCCAGCAGCTCTAAGACACGTTTCACACTCAGTGAACTCAGTGAGACTGGGTTTAACTCCAGTTTGTACAAATCATGCCTGAGGACTCATCAAACCATTTGTACAAATTACATCCCCACCTCCATCAAAATGGAACATACTGTCTGATATTCATTCTTCATATGCGTCAAGATGGATTCAACCAATACCAATGTTGTATTAGCGCATGACATTCCTGAGTTTGATTTGAGCCTAAAGCCAGGATTTTAAAACAAACTGAAGCCAAAGTCAGAGTGGAACACTCCATATCATCCAGTCGGCTGTACCAGCTGACTTCTATGGAAACATCAAGAGTCCCTCAGTGCCAGGCATTGAAAGGACATGGCAACAAACTGGCAACCTCGTGCGTCTATCCAGCGATTTGTCCACAGATGCAAATTTGCACATCTGTTACCCATCTACACGTCCACCCGAGTGTACAGAAAGTTGCAAAAGAGCAATCTGAGAAGCTTCACTGCCTGCTCACACACACACACACACACACACTGTGGACAACATTCTACAGACTGGGCAGCCATTCAAACAGCTCTCAGTAACAGTAACCCACGGCAACCCTAAAACCAACCCCCCCCCCCCTCTCTCTCTCTCTCTCTTTCTCTCTGCCCAGGAGACACAGATCCATTGCCCAGTTAAGGGACCCGGCAGACAGAGTGCCGGAGAGTGAAAAGAGGCTGTAACTTTAGCCGCTGCTCTGCCTTTACTAAAGTGCAGCTCTACCCCCCACTGGAAGGTTCCGGGGGTTAATTATTCAACATGAGAAGGGATTTGTGGGAGAACTGAGAGTGGAAGGAGAAGCCAGTGAAAGACCCTCACCTCTTTTGTTCAGCTCCTTCACCAAGTCACTGACTTTTAAATGTGGACACTCTTTAACTATGACA